CTACTCTGTAGTCTCATCCACTGTAGTCAAGACTAGCCCTCATAGTCAATGAGCCTGATGGTCAATCCCAATCACTAATGTGCCAACAATCAAGGGTCAACTACAACAGAAAGGTACACCCAACCAGCACAAGAGACACACCTGCAGCACCCAGCTCAAGTGACTAGGAAGACTGTGCTCCTGGGATCCACAGAACACCTACTATATTTAAGGCTACCCTGCCAAGATTGGGAGATGTAGCAGATCTAACTAATACATAGAAACAAACACAAGAAGACAGCCAAATGAGGAGACCAAAAAATGTCCTAAATAAAAAATCAGGATAAAACAACAGAAAAAGACCTAAACAAAATAGAAGAAAGCAATCTACCAGATACAGAGTTAAAAACACTGGTTATACAGATGATCAATGAACTTAGGGGAAGAATACATGAACTCAGTGAGAACTTACATAAAGAGATGGGAACCATAAAAAAAGAACCACTAAAAATGAAGAATACAATCACTGAAATGAAGAATACATTAGAGGGAATCAACAACAGATTAGAGGACCAAGTCAACAATTTAGAAAACAAAGTAGCAGAAAACACTCAATTGGAACAACAAAAAGAAAACAAGAATTTTTTAAAATAAGGATAGTTTAAGGGACCTATGGGATAACATCAAACATAACAACATCCCCATTACAGGAGTACCAGAAGGAGAAAAGAGAGAGCAAGGGACTGAAAACCTACCTGAAGAAATAATGATTAAAAACTTTCCTAACCTGGTGAAGGAAATAGACATACAAATAGAGGAAGCACAGGCAGTCCCAAATAAGATGAACCCAAAGAGGCCTACACCAATACACATCATAATTAAAATACCAAAGTTTAAAGACAAGAGAGAATCTTAAAAGCATCGAGAGAAAAGCAGTTAGTTACCTACAATGGAGCTCCCATAAGACTGTCAACTGATTTCTCAACAAAAACACTGCAGGCACGAAACAATCAAAATGATGTAAAACAAGAATCTATAACCAAGATTACTCTACCCAGAGGGCTATCATTTAGAATCGAAGGAGAGATAAAGGTCCTCCCATACAAGAAAAAACTACAGAAGTTCATCACCACAAAACCAGTTTTATAAAAAATGATAAAAGGACTACTTTAAGAAAAAGAAGGAAACAAGATAAAAAATATGAATAATAAAATGAGAGTAACTACATACTATCAATAATTACTTTAAATGTAAATGAATGTATTCTCCAATCAAAAGACATAGGGTGGCTGAATGGATAAGAAAACAAGACCCATGCATATGCTGCCCACAAGAGACTCTCATCAGATTGAAAGATACACACAAACTGAAAGTAAAGGGGTAGAAAAAGATATTTCATGCAAATGGAAATTTTTAAGAAGCTGGGTTAGCAAATATCAGTCGCATTAGACTTTAAAAGAAAGGGTATAACAAGAGACAAAAGACATTTCATAATGATAAAGGGATCAGTCCAACAAAAGAACATAACCCTTGTAAACATTTACACACCCAATGTAGGAGCACCTAAATATATAAAGCAAATATTGACAGATATAAAGGACAGGTCAACAGCAATACAATAATAATAGGGGATGTTAATACCCCCATTGACATCAATGGATAGGTCATCCAGACAGAAAATCAACAAAGAAACCATGGCCTTAAGTAACACATTAGACCAGATAGACTTGATTGATTTTTATAGAACATTTCACCACAAAGCAACAGAGTATACATTCTCTTCATTGGGAATATTTTCAGGATAGACCACATGTTAGGCCACAAAAAAAATGTCTCAATGAATTTAAGAAGACTGAAGTCATATCACACATCTTCTCCAAGCACATTGGTGTGAAACTAGAAATCAATTACAGGAAGAAAACTGAAAACCACTCAAACACATGGAGGCTAAATAACATGCTACCAAACAATAAATGGGTCAACATTGAAATCAAGGAAGAAATCAAAAGATACCTGAGACAAATGAAAATGAAAACAGAACAACCCCAAATCTAGAGAACACAGTGAAAGCAGTTCTAAAAGAGAAATTCATGGCAATACAGGCCTGCCTCAAGAAACTAAAAAAATCTCAAGCAATCTAACCTTACAATTAAAGAAACTAGAAAAAGAAAGACAAACAAAGCCCAAAGAGAGTATAAGGAAGGAAATAATAAAGATCAGATTGGAAATAAATGATAGTCTAAAAAAATAAATACAAAAGACCAATGAAACCAAGAGCTGCTTCTTTGAAAAGATTAAAAAAATTAATAAACCTTTA